GTCCTTTTTTTTTTTAAAGAACGGCTGACCTCATATGCAAAGCTAATCCTTGGGGGTTCTGTGTTTTGGAGGCCAAACGGTGCCATTTGGTGCAGTTTAGAACTGTGATTCAGCTCTTCGAGAGGGGAATATTGGTGTGATCGTTTTCCAGAAACCGAAGGGGGCGGGCGGAACCCCCTGACACACGTTACAGGGCATTTACTGTAGTCTTGCTTCGTGTTACTTTAAAAGAAACTATTTCTAGAACAAGCATGCATGCTGATCATCCCTTGCGCCCCCTCAACCCCCTTTCCGCCACCACACAGGCACACGTACAACACACGCGACGAAAATGTTTATATGTTACTCTCTCTTTTCTTATTTTCCTAGAAACACAAGCATTTTTGACAAAAGTTGACACAATATAGCGTTACCGCGCTGACGAATGTGTTAGAGAAGACAAGCTCCAATTGATCTTGATGTGCCGAACTTCCACCGTATAACAAGATCACTTTGAAAAATGTGTTAGAGAAGACAGGTTTCATCAGATTGTGCTATCCCGAATTCTGCCGAGAACATGGACCAAAGCACTCGCGTTGACGCCACATTCTTCAGCTCAGATGTTGACTTGATGCATTAACTTGTCGCACGAATTTGGAAATATTGATCCAAGGGCTCAGTGGCATGAATTGAATCTAACGTTCTATCTATACATATCTTTATACATTTACCTCCACACAACAGTCTTAAATATCGAATAATGTTTGGCACAAATAACACCACTCATTTTAAACCATTGCTTGTCAAAGCGCAACAACTCAATGAGATGTTCTTGTTTTATTGCGTCAAAAACAGCTCAAAGCCGCCGGTTTTCCGGCTTTCAACAAAAAAAAACTGTGCCAATTGTGAAGTTTACACATAGTGTTTCAAAAATAGTCAAAATTTAAGTTACTACGTGCGCCTCAGCATTTTTGCTGCACATCAAGCCGCCCTTGCCGTATAGCTGCTAACACGATATTCTGTCATAAAGATATGTATCTGAGTTGTCCCGTATTGCAGGTGATGTTAATCTTTATTAACCTGAACACAGCGTCTCCTGGCGCCTTGATGAGCGTCGTTAGTATATAGGGAAGGGTGGCTGGAGTTTATTGACGTATTAAGAAGACATAACACACGGCTTCAGTTGGTAAATAGATCTATATGTAGTTGTTATCATCGGTAAATTAGCGTAACGGAATGCATGCTCTTGATGACACGTAACACGCACACAGATCACACATATGCACACACACACACACACACACACACACACACACACACACACACACAGCCTGTGACGTTAACCACTGGCCAAATTGCCAATGCCTCAATTGTCAATATAATCTCAATTGTCAATTTAAGTTTTATTTATTTATTTATTTGTTTGTTTGTTTGTTTGTTTGTTTGTTTGTTTGTTTGTTCAATTTGGACTTCAGTCAGTGAATTTTGGTTCGGGCCATGCAGTACCAGTAAGTCTCAGACCCTCGTGCCCCAGATGGCATGGGAGTTAAAAACTATTTGGCACAGACTGTATACACGCACTCACAGTGCACACACACGCGCGCGCACGCACACACACACACACAACCACACACACACACACATGCATTCAGACCACTGTTCATAAACACCCAGGCACAAACTGAAACACAGCACACACAAGCACGAATGTACGTCACGCGCGCATGAGTGTGCCTCTTTTTCACATCGCACTGTGTAAATTATATACTTCGGATTTTTGATATCTTGTTTAATTTTGATTTCATAAGTCGTGTAATTGACACTGGGAACAACACACTGTATTGATATTTCACTTTTCTTTTTATTGACAATACTTCATCTTAGAACTGTCACCTGGAGTCTAATTCACTTTTAAACTTGTCGTTAAATCTGGCCCAGATCTCATGAATTGGCTAAGCACAGACATTACAATTGAGATATCAGAGAGCCCTTTGAAGTGTGATCGGAATCTGAAGACTACCAAATGCCTTGCTTCAATCAATTTACTTTGAAGAAGATCTCGCTGATGTGTCCATAAAACGCAGTGAAGACATCTCAAAGCAATCAAAGACAATTTAATATTAGACGTCATGATAGTATCGTAATTTCGTGAAGCCACGGTCTGCTGCTCCTGGTCAGGTGACGAGATCTCGTCACTGACTGAGAGGTCACGTTACTCATTCACATATATTTCTCACTTCCCCGCAAATGTCATGCGGCGGTCAGTAAATACTCCTTTTAACATTCAGTAGTCACATGTGCATATCAATAGGGCGCTAACAAGATTATCAAATTGCGATTTCACATTCCCATTGACTTGTGTGGTTGCATGTCGCCGTTTCCATGGACGTTTCATTGACAACTGATTGGGGTTCCAGTAAAAAAAAAGAGCTGTATTTACTATTAATAAGTTAAACTAAACTGACACTTTCCAACACTCGTCTTGTCAAACATTGGCAAACTTGACTTCAAGTTCTGGCGTTTTGCTCGTTGTGCTATAATCACCTTAATCTAAACATATGTATTTGTAAATGCTGCATATACTGGGTATTTTAATATACATGTAATAGTCAGCATTATCAATACGAGCCACGCTCACCCCCACCCCCCACCCTATATGTACACGCACCTTGTGTATACCGACATATGCAATACTTATGATAACGATGAACTTATTAATTAGTTCTGTTCTTCGTCGTTAATAGAATTAATGTCAGTAAATAAACAATAAAAACAAAGTTTTGTCATCCTGACTAATACAGCTGTTCGTATGATGCACACGGCCCAGTCCCATAATGACATTAAATGACAAGTGCGTGCTATAATCTTAATGACATGATATAATAAGCATATAATTTAATTTAAATTATTGTTTTTCTTTTTATCAAGAGCTTATAAAATATGTAGGTTTTACCTCCAATATTTCTGTGACTTTTATAAGCTCTTGATAAAAAGAAAAACAATAATTTAAATTGATTCATACAGAGCTAATGAAACTCTTCTCTCATAATTTAAGTTCCATTAAAATTGACATATAAGTTATCACTACTGATGCATAGTGGTTTGTAGTTCACGTGATAACAAGGCATCTTCACATTTCAGCACATTGCCGTCTTCTATAGCTGTATAGTTTACATTGCATAGAATACATCATTGCGTTCACAAAGTCGCGCAACTTAGGCGAATACAGAGGTTCAACTGAGGTACATAAAATCTTTAAACGTACAAATTGTTCGTGTTCTAGCTACAGAGTAACTGTAAAACTTCCCCAGCAATCCGCCATTGGTGACGTCACATGGTCCTGACGTCATGTAATGCTAAAAAAGCGACTCCTCAGTTCTATCTGCATGTAGTGCACATCAACGATTAAGAACGAGAACAACAAACAGTGAATAGTTTACATGTATCTGCAACACGACTTTTAGCACATGACGTCACTTTTCGTCCTCCTGTTTTCCACACAAAAACACGGGTATACGTGTAGCATACTGAATTCAGACAACTGTTTGAAAGCACCGGTAAAATTGCCAAAATCAGTGTTTTCACTTTTGACCTGTCAGGTTTGGCAGGCGGAATTAAATAAGATGCATTAAAGTGAAAATGCTTTTGCAGTGTCTTTGTCGTGGTTTTTTACGTGTAGTATTGGCCATGGAGTAGTATCAGCCTGTCTACTTGGCGGTAGCTGAGTATCGTCTCTGAAATTCTGACAACAGCGGTTCCAGTATCCCACATATCACAGTCATACGTCTGTACACATAATCAGAGTACACAAAAAACTATACTGCTCAGTAAGCACAGTGCCAGGTCATTTGGCCTTGACCTTGACCAGACTTGACCTTAGCCTCGGTATCATTTTCATCTGACCTTGACCCGAACACTACCAACACGTGTGCTCCGTCACTTTCTTGATGCACCTGTCACAGTCGACGTAGCAGCACCAGATATATTTACAGTTACATCTCTCCTCCACCATCTTGGACACCGACTTGAACCCGCGGCCGCAGCACATGGAGTCACACCCGGCACTTGTGGGACTTCCCTTTATACAGCGTCTGAAATACAGACACACGTTCATTTAACACGGAGTCACAGTCAGCACATGTGGGTTTCCCCTTTATACAGCGTTTAAAATACAGATACGCGTTCATTTAACATGACGGTCGTGGAAATATAGAAAATTAAGCGTTCTTGCAAACTTAACGTTATTACCATTGTCATATGATAATATTTGAGAGAATAGCAGCCTAAGAACATCGTTACAGATGGAGCATGAGCACTTTATCGGAACAACCTACCTGCCCTTGGTCCCGACAGATCCTGTAGATTTATCCGGGTTACAGTAATCCGGTGACGTGGTGTAGTAGATGAGGTCGTCCTGCCGGATTGAGCGTCTGTACCGATTTGTGGGCACCAGATGGCGTTTTTTCCCAACGCGTTCGTTTTTCACCTCCACTGCGACGCCATATTTTGTCATCAACATCTCTGCAATACTTTTGAACTTGGGCAGCGCACGCCAGCATGTCTTCACCGAACACGAGCCAGATACCCCGTGGCACTTACACGTTGTACTTAAACTGTCCAGTACAACCTAGAATAAAGACATATATTATGTTATATTAGAATATCCAAGGGGATGGGCGCAAAGCAAGAATATAGTCATGTATAATGCTATAGTATTGGAATATCAAAGAGACGGGGACAAAGCAAGAATAAAGCCATGTATAATGTTATATGTTTGCAGACCCAAGGGGGGGGGGACTAGAAAAACTGTTAAAGAATCGTAAGATCCAGGGGGAGGGGGCTACAGCAGCCATTTGTTCCTCCCTTAGTTTCTGATCCCCTCTTCCTTCCCCGAAAAGTATAACAATCAAAACAAAATTTTCGCTCCTGTTCCTTTTATATTATATACTAAAAGTATCTTAGACCATCATTTCTAATATTAACATAGCGAAACGAGACAAATGTTTATCTTTGTTCATCCGCAAGCTAACGTATATGTAGGATGTCTGCCAGTGTTATAACACAAAAATATTCCATGTTGCTAATGAAGTGGATAATCCATAATTCTGAGGTGCCAAATGAACATGGAGGCTTGGCAGTGATGTCAGAAATAAGTACCAATCAGTCAGTCAAAAGGTGTATTGTTGAAGTAAGTTACACCAGAAAAGAGGACAGTGGCCCTGTCGTACTAGCAGAGCTCTGAATAGCTGTAAGTGCACTGGGTGACCTCACTCTGGTGCACCCATTGCACCCGAAATGTTTACATGTACTCCAAGTGAACCATATCGACACATCTACGTTCTTGATGCTGGCGACAGTGAAAGGTTCAATCTTCAACCCACAACACAATCAGCAGCGCCTATCACATCATTTGGCACAGAGAATCACGTGCGTGGTGTACTAAACACCTACCAAGACCTATAGGCCTATGGTATGACGGTGACAGGCACGTCTTCCTTACTTCCGTAAATGTAATTGAGTCAACACTAACGTGATAAAGCACGATATCTCATCTTTGTTTAAAATTGTTCGCTGAACAACGTGAACATGTTAGCGATCGCTTCAACGCACTTTATAAAAAAAACGTATGCTTGTACAAAACCTAACGCAATGTCACACCGAGCGCAATGTTCATCTCTGCACAACATCTTCTCTAACGCAATGCATCCCTCACCTTTCTTCCAGAGGCATTGTTATGCCTGTTCATCGTTGCCTTCTTAGAATTCCTGGCTCGCCTCCTTGCTGTCAGCCAAGGAGCATCGGAGAACGTCTCAGAAAAGCCTATACCATACCGGACATTGTCACTACATCCGCCCCATTTGAAAGTGGGTGGCGCTGGGGTCGTGGGAAGAGCCCCGCAGTTACACTGGCTCAGAGCACCTGTGGCGCATGACCGAGATACCACGTGGGCCACTGCAGCAGACGACAGCGCGTGCACATACGCCTGCTCTCTGGTACCTGAAATTTATTTCAACCATTTATTACTTAACTATATCTCAGTCAGAATCAGATTTCGATTCAGCATGTCACTAAAACAAGTATGCCCCCCCCCATCCCTAGATAGGCCTAACCCACAGAGTAAAATTGGCCTACTGGAAAAAATGTTAGACATTCTACGGCACAACTGCCCCAAACCAAAGTCTTTTCTCTGGTAGGAGACGAATACACCACCTTGGTTTGGGAATGGGTGGACCCCCTTCTCGATGAGAAGAGGCAAACTATTGGCAATTGATTTATATTTTACTTTATAATGTGATTTAAAAAATACACCACATGAATAAAACCAGGCATATAGGCTCAAGCATTGCGATGCCGACTGTGTAATTTGATCTTAAAACATTTTCGTTTGATGACCAAGTTTTAAGAAATTGATATCTCGCGCCAAACGTTGGCAATTGTGCGTCTTTATGTCACCGTGGCGAGGTTTTATTGTAAGTGATACGCTTTAGCCGGGAGAACAGCAATCATTGTGGAATTAGCTGTGCTACCAACGGTAAAATGGACCGAAGCCACAAAGACCAACTGGTGACTTCACAAAGGAGGATAGGTCTACATAAAGAACAGGTGGGGTTATTACGGGAAATTAAAGTAGCTGTTAATCATTTCAATAAATAGTTTGCAAATTTGCCTCTGGTAAAACTTGTATAGTCTTTCAAGATCTGTGAAATATATAGTAAAATACTAAAGATTAAACAACGACCAAGTTAGGTGATGACACCAAGTACGTGCTTTATTACCCTAATGCGTTCCCGTTCTGTTGAAGGACTCACCTGAGGTCAGATCTTTGTTAAACCGGGGTGCCAGTAGAACTGAGGAGCAGTTCCAGCGTCTCTCCTTAAACCGGTCCTTACACGAGTACACTGCCTGAGTCGCTGCACTGACTAACAGTGGCATCAGCTCCAAGTTGTTACGACATAGCGCTACCTGTTGTGACGTCATACCACGAGATTTCATTTGCGAGCATAGTTTCGTGTTATTCCACGCCGTGGCATTCAGTTTGACCAGGCCGCTGAAAATTTAAGACAAAATTTTAATCGAAATACAAAAAAAAAAAGTGAGGAAGACATGGCGACGTTGTGACATTGAGATCGAAATGTTAAGTGTGAAAGTGAAAGAAAAAGATTTGTGTGAAAGGTTACTTTGTGAATGTGTCTATGACAAGTCTGCGACATTCACAAGTCATCCCCAAAACTTATTCTACAACATACATGTAACCTTTAGTCAACCAAGTGCCTGCTCTTCAGCTACCTTAGGCCTAATTCACTCTTGTAGCAGCAGGTGCACAGGTTAGGTAAAATCCAAAACAAAGTTACAACATCAACGATTTTATATCAATACCATAAATAATATCAACTCTGGGGCAACCGTCTTGCAAACCACAAGGTTCTTAGAACTGATGAAGTTAATTTCATGTTGCCTTTAATCAATCCACAAGACAGGGCCGTTTTCTCCCATACTGCGAGCACGCGGCATGTCGGCTTCACCTCGCGGACCACCGGGACTTACACGGAGCATTTCGTTATTGGCCAAACTTTAGGCGAGGACAACACATGTTTTGGGAATTGAACGCTGTCTGTTCGGGTTGTGTGGGCACGTGGTTCGAGCACGCGGTATACACATCACGACAGTGTCTGCATCAGTGGTGTGTGTAGTTTGCACGGAGAGCAAATTAGTATAAACAGTTTACGCAAGACATGCGCTCTGTGCGGCAATGTGATCACAGGGGAACACCTCACCACATTTCTGCATATCTCGTGAAAAAGGTGAAGTAACACTCTAGC